AAAACATAATAATTGTATAGTTTAATTTAGACGCCTATAAAATGGTATATATTGCTGAACACTTGTTAATTATTATATACTAGCTACTCGCCCCGGTTTTGCACGGGTGTACAATGTACATGTATTATACAACAAACCTTCCTATTGAATCACTCTATCTATTAAAAAAATCGCTTCAAAATCCGTTGCGTAGTTGTAAAGATTTAAACATATATAGAGACGGACAGACAGCGACAGTGACTTTGTTTTATACTAAGTAATGAAGACCAACTTTGTGAATACCAATATTTTGTTAATAAACATTCATTTCGAATAATTTTTCATTACCCGAGGATGATTTAAATATTTGCAATGTTATGTGTACAATTACAGCTATATTACAGTATATAGCTAAGTTTTATACGACCAAATATTTTGAAAAGCATTACGAATACAATAAATTTGGAAGCTGTACTTTGATCTAAGATCTAATGGAATCTATTTATATTTTGTTTTTAATTTATTATATTTGCACCGCCAACAATTATTCATTGTACTTTTGAATTGTTGACTGGCAGAAAATGCCACAGGGTGTTAAATCCGCCAAATGTACTGTTACTAATATTTTTAGGATTGTGAGCTTTAAAAATAAATAATAATAGCAACAACAACTCAGCACATTTCACACAGCTTAAAAAAAATAATATGATGACTAAAATACATTATTAAAGTTTCAAAGGTATTACATACTCATGAATATTAATGTTTATAAATTGCAACGATTTGAACCCACGATAATCGGAAGTAAGGCGGTATGATAAACCACTAAATCACCGAAGACGTCGAAATAAATTTAAATTATTTAATAAAGTTTCTCTACGAGAATTTTTAGAAAATTCTTCTAGGATGGTTTAGATGTACAAAATTAGATATATATAATGATTATGGCAATAGCCAAATCTAAAAGGATACTTGTAATAATAAGGAAAGATTTGAATTTGTTAGCAATGAACCAAGTTTTCCTACTATTATTAACAATATGGCTTAATCCCAATAACAAAAGAAAACCAAAGTAGACACTTACAGCAATTATTAATTTCAATTTCCATCTTTAAGAATTGTTATTCACTTTATCCACTGACGCTTACGTGAATTTACATTTGTGCAGAAACATCACAGGAATAGACTTTAGAACGTAAATACATTATCGAATTTAGACGAGTTGTGTCTTCACATATTTTCAGCGATCAATATATTTTAGGGTAACACGACTGTTATTATATGTCGATTGACTGACATATTAGTACTTCAGAACACATAATAATTGTAGTGTAGCAACAATGCTCCACGTGAAGTTTATACATTTGTATGACTAACACAAATCTAGAAAGTTCATACGAAATCTGCCTTTGGATCTTTTGGATTTCAATATACATAGATTAGTAATGTGCCTTTATGTTTCTTTAATAGTTAACACAAACAATCTGCAACAGCGATTTGATTTCAAATTAATTTTGCTATTATATTATATGAATAGGTTGTAAGTAACACTAAAGGAAAAATCATATATTGATGACGTAAAATCACACATAGGAATGTCTGAATTTAATCAACTATATACAGAATGTGAGTTTGATAATGAGAACTAGCGCATAGTAACCGTTGCTGCTGCGTGTTTCAGTGTTTGCTATTTTGTTTATTTGAATCCCGACGAAAAAAGGGTGGTGTTATAATACTCGCTAAAGATCGCTTTTATCTGTTTTTAGGTTTGTAATGATGTAGTTTCGAAATGGATTGGTTGATATTAGTTTAGATTTTTTTCTGTTTGAAAGTATTGAATTAGATTCTATTTATGTAGTATAGTTTATAGTTATATCCACAACATTATCTCTTATCTTATCTTTATTTATGCATTTGGAGTTAGTTTTATATTGTGGCTCATGAACTCAATTTCTTTTGATTAGTGCATCATAACGGGGACATAAAGAATACATTTTGCAAGCAAATTTAATTTCACCATTTAGTGGATCGATCTGCAGCGCTCCGTAGTTATTACTATATCGATAAATTTACAGGTTAAGTACTGTAGATACAGACACTGGGAGCAGGCATATGCAGAATCAGACAAAACTAAGGAGACCAAAAAAACTTGAGTTCCATCGGGTGTCATCCTCAATTGCCATATGTAATAGTAACTTTAATATTGTACTTCTTGAGATATAAAAAGATTGTACTACAAGTACATAATTTTCTGTTCAGTTTCATAATCATTTAAACAATAGCACCATTGTGTTCTTTCATATTCCAATTACATATCATTGCATTACTTGGTCGTTGCCAAATCAATAGACATATATTTTATTCCTTAATATACACTTACTGTACTTATTATAGCGAACTCTGTTTAATTTACTATCTTAACAACGCTGATCATAAAATTTATAATACTAACGCATGTTAATATTTTAATAGGACAGTAAATTCATCGGAGCGGAGCAAGAATAATGGAGAATTGGCAGGGCGTAACGACATTGCTTAGACTGCTATTAAAAAATTAAAAGATCACTTTACTACTGATAAATGTTCCTTGGTGTACATACATGCGAGCATGAAATCTATGCTCAAAGAAAGAAATTAATTTCATTATTCAAAGAAATTACTTGAGAACTCATGTTAATAGTACAAAGAAAATGAACAATAAAATAAAATATGAAGTACATAAGGTGGGAACTAGCGGCGTTGAGGTATTATTCAGATTAATTTATATATTTAAACATTATTAAGACTTAAGATATACGAATAGCGACAGTCCGAAAAATGAACTAACCGTAGTCTTGTGACATATTATTTCATTTTTGTAATTTATTAGATTAGGATAAGGAAATCATTCATTTCTTTGATATTTTCTAAATATACACCCAAGATATAGTAACTGCCATAATTTTATCATAACATCTCTTGTACATTATCAAAATGATGCATTCATGAATTGTTAAGTAAATACATATAATTTTGAAACAGTATGTAAAATTTCGTTTCATTTATTTTATTTAATTCTAACGGTCGAAGGTTCCAATTAAAATATTATTAAGTAAGTATGTCTGTCAATTTTATACAAAATAAAAACGCCAAAACGAATAAAGTACTTTTGAAAACTAACGAGACTAAAGACATAATTTTAAACAGAGCAATTGAAGAGAAAAGTTTAAGTATTCCGTACATCAATATCAATGCGATAGATTTACAATCTAATAATGAAAGCGAAAAGAACATTAACAAAGGAAAAAACGACGGATGATATCCAGAAAGATAAACATTTTGCTAACAACGTAGGCAGTGTAAACAGAAAGTCTCAAGACACCAAGCGCCACATTTTGAAAGACTAGTTGATTTCATTAATCGAGCAATAAATATTCAAGTTTAGTACATACCAAGTACTTACGTTGATTGATCTTATAATTGAATGATATCGAATAAATTTTAAACATTCGCCGAAACATTGTCCATGGAGTTATATTCTTGAATGGAATTTGAAATTTTCATCCCAGGTAAGTCAATAAATATATGCATATTAAAAAGAGATTTTAGTCCCACTGGTCATGCCAAAAATATCAATTTGGAATTATTAGATATAGGAGACAAGTTAAGTGTTCTTAGTTTGGACTTTGGAATTTAGAATTTAGAATTTAAATTGGTTCAGATTAGTAATGTCAATTATTCGTTATCTGATAGTAGATTACATATAGCGGAGTTTAATTAGGAGTTTTGATCTCTGGTCTGCCGATGCGGGTCTGCCACGGCTTCAATGGTGGTGACGTCACGACACGCTCCAGTTCTGACTTGTCGCAGCCCGTCTGTCAAATGTAGCGTTACGATCTCTTACGTGAACTGTCAGCTACAGTTTCATTGTTTTTTGGCACTTGCCTGCTTATATCCGGTGTTTTATTCTATTCAATGTACTCTAATGTCTCGGAAATAGGTGTCGTTATTCAGAAATCTATTTATTTCTACATATAATTATTGTCCTTAAGAACATTCGCATAGAAGCTACTATTAGCTTTTAAAATGGAATCAATGAATTCTGCTAATTACTGAATTTCATATTTCAAACAAGATGAACATAAATTTAATAATATGACTAATTGTTCATTGCTTCTCACGATTTCAAGTAATTTAATAAGAGTCTGATATTGTATTATCGAATCTTTTTCAGTTCATTGTGATGAAAGTCACTTAAATTATGATATGGTTAGAATGTTAAAATTTTGACAGGTATCTGTCAAAATTTACATAAGTATATAGACGTTAAAAGTAATGTAGTGTAAATCCGCTTAAAGAATCTTCCAGTGATTATATTACCGTGGTTTATAATTATTATCGTTTTAAAACAGTTTTGAAAAAAAATATTGAAGATTTCATAATAATTTAAGCACATGATTAATTAATTAGTACTTTCCGTAATTCAAACGTCAGTCGGGTTGAAGACTTAATAAAACTTATATTACAATTTCCTCCGCAGCACTTACGAAGGGTGCATAAATGAGGTCCGCATTTATAACTACAGTGTGTTGTGTTTTGTTGCACTTGCCACGTTAGACCACTATTCACTATCAACCTAAAATGGACTCATAATAGCCACTTGTTTTATCCATGCACCTGCCGTTACCACATATTTGTTACCAGTACCTTTAATTGCTATCTTAAAATCTATTTGCGTGTATTCTGCAATTGCAGTATATGCTCGCATCATTTTAAAATCTAACATAAAAATAGATACGGGTTTATATCTTAACGGTTAGCATGCACCAGTTAGAAACCACATGGAAATTGACATATGAGTGTCTCTAAACATGAGATAGACTTGCTTCAATGCTTTCAAAGTGATTATCGAATAGGAAAATGTACCTCAAGAGTGATCCCGAAATGGTATCGGCGACCGGTGTCCAAGTTCCATGTGGCCGTGGTCGGTGCTAGCGGCGGCGCATGCGACCGTAATAACACGCTTATCACTAGACACTCACTGTAACCACGCTTGTAGACCGCTTCGACCCTGCGTCGCAGCGTCGGAGTATTGTTCAGCGGCGGTCCCAACGCGACTGCCGCGTGATCCCGCCTCTCCGCGAACACGATATATTTACGTCGGATCGTCAACCGCACTTCATGTCGTCCCGTGCACTCGCGGGGGCCCTGCCGCGGCAGCTTGAGGCTGATGACGGCGTCCTCCTGGGGCCAGTGGCCCTGGCTGCGGAACACCCTCTTGACTCTGACGGTGGCGCTGTCTCTGGCGAGGGACTGCACGCGCGCCACGAAGGCCGCCGGCGCGCGGTAGGCTCGCCAGGCCACGTCGGAGCGCTCGCAGTAGAGGCGGCGGGGCGCAGCTGCAGCGCTGGCGGCGAGGCACAGCAGGGCCCAGCAAATCGCCGCGCGCCCGCTCGTCTTCATCGCGCCATCGCCGCAGCGATTCGTTTCCGCTCTGCTCACGAAAGCGTCGTTACCCCGTCGGCGGCCGGCGCGCGACTGCCGTGGCCTCTACTCACTGAATCATTCGCCCCGCCCACACCGAAATAGTCTCGATACACTGTAGAGCACGCGTCTCTGATTTATCTCGTCCGATGATTAATTTGCGCTTGTTACATGTAATTAGTTTGATTAGCACCTGATTAAGGGTGTATTGAAAAGTTTTCTTATCGTGTTTGCTTTTAAAGCTTGCGTAGTGTACTTTCAATTAATCTTTGAATTAATTAATTTCGTTATAGATTTTCTTGTGACGACGTTTTTAGGCGTTCGGGGAGTGATATATGTATAATGTGAGTGTATGTTCGAGTAGTGGAGATTGTAGTAATTTTTTCATGTAAAAGTTTCATGTTGTAGCGCCGTCTACGAGGTCCGTAGCGCGTAGGCTCGTAGCTTTGACCTCTGTCGTAGACACGCTTCTTTATACTAATAGTGGAATTTCAAATTTATTATAGAAACATTACTTTCACTCTAATATTTTTTTATTTATGTTCATTATAATATTATATCGTTTTTCGTTATACTTATAAGTATAATTCTGAAAGTGTGGACGTAACAAGTTACGCGATAAATTTTAGTACTCACTCAATAATAATTTGAATATAAAATATGACGAATACTGAATTTATGTGTAATTCAACATTCATTTGTTTCATCCTAATAAATTAGTTATTGTGTACTCTACGCCATTTTTTTTGACACGATAATGAAATGATAAACCTGTTAATAAACGCAAATATATAAAATAGCATGCTTTGGCAAGTCATTAGTGAAGAAAAAGAATATAAGGATGAAGTCAAGATAATCAGCCGAATCCGATATATTTTATTTACTTCTATCGCCAGCGAGTTACTTGGCGAATTGTGTTCTAAATCTTATATATAAAATTCTCGTGTCACAGTTTTCGTTCCCATACCCCTCCGAAACGGCTTGACCGATTCTCATGAAATTTTGTGAGCGTATTAAGTAGGTCCGAGAATCGGCCAACATCTATTTTTCATCCCCCTAAATGTTAGGGGTAGTCCACCCCTATTTTTTTTTTATTTAAGGCAAAACTACGTTTGCCGTGACAGCTAGTTATATATATATATCAATTTAGAACACAAGTTGCGTATATTTCTAAATTGATATAATTGATAGATTCATTAGCGTAAAACCGCGGGCATAGCTAGTGGTAAATAAATATAACATGAATAATCTTATGGTAAATTAGATATTCTTACAGTCCTTCGAATTCATTCATATGACTGACATTCATTGACTGATAAAATGTAGTAGTCAAATTACAGTGCTATAACTGGACGGATCGGGCTGATATTTGGCATGCAGGTAGATATTAGGACGTAGGCATCCGCTAAGAAAGGATTTTGATAAATTCCACCCCTAAGGGGATAAATTAACACGAGCGAAACCGCGGGCAAAAGCTAGTAGATATATACAAATATGATGTAAGCTTCTTTCCCATACAAATTGTATAGAAAAAGGTGGCAAACGTATAACATCTTAATTACATTCCTTCCATGAAACCAATGCGTCAAAAACAATTGTACCTTACGTTCCCAAACTGCGGGCACAATACAATCTGCACGCACGTGCGTACCTCAAAGGTAAATTCCACAATGAAGGTAGTTCCGGTGTTTGGGAAAAAATGACCATTCATTCATACGTATGAATGACGCTACTACCTGGCTGTTTACATTTTTGTTTATCCCTTTTTTTGCCGGATGTGAGACAAATTGGTCACCGTTAGGTCTCGGACTGTGAGAAATATTGGCCACTTCTTTTGGTAACGATCTAAAACTAAATCCATGGGAATTATAAAAAATAAATAATGGAGTAGAATATAATAATAATAACTGAATACATTCATATAACTCCTTAAGTCTTAAGTTAAGCATATTTTGTAATATGTTAAACAATCGAAAGAAATATTTATGCACATAGTTCTTTTAAATCTTATTAATATTAAAAGCGAAAGTTTGTGAGTGTTTGTTACTCTTTCACGCAAAAAGTACTGAACGGATTTTGATGAAACTTTACACTTTACTATATACCTTATATATCACAACAACATATAGGCTATATATTTCACAAGGTTGAAATGGCAGGTACAGTTAGTAAATATATATATAGATAGATATTTACTTTATTTACATCAATAAATACATAAATACATTAGTTACGTTGAAAACAAGCACGTTAGAAACGTGCTCATTTTAACGTGAAATTATTTTTTTTTAATTTTCTACTACTGTTACTACTAAAAAACAAATATCTACTAAACTACTACTCCATTAGTAGATATTTACGTCGTCTATATCTTTCCTTAAAACAGTCCGAAGTAAATATAAGTAAAAACGTACTCGTTTCTACTTAAATTTTCTACCACTGCTCTATTACTAAAAAGCAAATATCTACTAAACTACTACAGTATCAGTAGATATTTACATCGTCTATATTCTTCCATAAAACAGTCCGAAGTAAAATTTAGTTAAAAACGTACGCGTTTCTATCAAAAATTTCTACTACTACTGAAAAATAAATATCTACTAAAATACTACTGTATTAGTAGATATTTACGTCGTCTATGTCTTTCCTTAAAATAGTCCAAAGTAATATTTAGGTAAAATCGTACTCGTTTTTAGCTAAATTTTCTACTACTACTACTAAAAAGTAAATATCTACAAAAATACTACCATTTTATTAGTAGATATTTACGACGTGTATATCTATGTCTTTTCCTTAAAACAGTCCGAACTAGGCTATGGAAATATTAGTATCGAATAGCGCAGTTAAACTCACCAATTGTATAATTTCGCCCGCATACCATTACATACTACATAAATATTTATTTATCTGGCATACATTTGATTTTAGCGGCTGATATCATTTACAAGATTGATTTATGATCCACATAATATAGTGAGGGGAGCTTGGGAGAGTATAGTTGGATTAATTATATTATTTTCAATAAACTTAAACGGGTTTTAATACGAAAATTTTAATAGGTATAATAAATAAATAATAAAAAATAAAAATAAATAAGCCGCTTTATTTCTTGCTTATTACAAAATCATGGTGTTAGTAAATTAGAAATATATATTTATCTCTATTTGTTAGTTTATAATTACATATTCAAGTTATTTTTTTAATAAAAAAAACATATTTTCTTACTAATATTATAGATGCGAAAGTAACTTTATCTAATGCGCTTTCACGCCAAAACTACTGAAGCGATTTGTATTAAATTTGGTACACTGATAGTCTAGACCCTGAGAAAGGACGTAAACTATTATTTGTTGTGTAAAAAGGGTTGTAAGTGCTTGAAAGAGGGGATGAAACGTTGTATGGTAGTATCGTCATTTTTAAAGCTAGAAGGTTTAAACTCATTTTTTAGGCTGTTGATTAATATAAATAAATATAACATTCAGTGTTTGTAAATATGTTAAAGAAAATAAGAGATGAATGTTTGTATGGAAATTCGTCATTCGTTGTTTATTACACGCAGATGAAGTCGCGGGCACAGATAGTGTATATATTCGTACGACTATAACCCCAGATGGGGGAGCCACAGGAATTATCAATTGACGTAGTAATCATTGCAATACCAGATGGAACCTAACCACTGATTGCAAATAATCTAAAGTGGCAATTCCAAAAACGAACCATCGATTAACAACACGCCTACTTAATCTAGATAGGCATAACCTCAAAATAATAATAGGGACAATAACAGGCCATCGTTCCTTAAACAAACACTTATACAAAATTGATGCTACAGACAGTCCCCTTTGTCGGGGCTGCTTTGAAGCTGAAGAAACGGCTGCTCACGTAATCCTGGAGTGCGCGGCAGTGGCCCAACAACGAACACAAATCCTCGGAACGGTGAGGTCGCTCCGTGAAGCCTGTGAAGACACCAGGAGTGTTCTGCGCTTCTGGGAGGAGCTTGGCTGGCTACTTTAGTAGTCTGGCTCTGCACGCACAACGGCCCGAATGAGAGGCTAATTGCGGAGACTGGAGTCCAACATACAATACAATACAATACCAGTCTGTTCTATGTCATAACAATGTAACGTCACGATAGTAACGCATCACGTGTATTACGTAAATCATCAAATTCAAAAATCATTTATTAATGTAGGACATTTTAGCCGCTTATGAACGTCAGGCATATCTATCTAATAAACAGACTGTAATGAATTGCTGTTCGTTAGTCTAGCTAAAACTCGAGAAAGGCTGAACCGATTTGGCTAATTTTAGTTTTAAAATGTTCGTTGAAGTTCAGGGAAGGTTTAAACGGTGATACAATTTGAATAAATTGCTAGGAAAGTACTAAAATATACAATTACAATTTTATTTCCTCATACAAACCGTACATACCTATCAAATAGGTTTCATTTAGAAATTGATTGTGTAACTAAATTTCAAAAATTCTTTGACATTATTTAATAGTGAGGCGAAACGTAGTTCGCTGGATCAGATAGTTAACAATATACTTTTATTATACGAGATATCTAATCGATGAACAAAACTAATATTTTTTTCATAATTTCATGCAAACTTTTTGCCACGCACAACAACATTGTGCTATCACTTACCAGTAATGGTATTTCCGAACCGATACGATATAGAAACCTTCAAGAAAAGATCTTATTCTTTCTTAAAAGGACGGCAACGCAGTCGCAAATACCCTGGTGTTGCAGGTGCTCATGGGCGGTCAATTACCATCAAGTGACCCGACAAGCAAACAATCTCGTTTGTAATAAAAAAAGAGTAGTTGCTATAAATAAAAAAACAAAAAATAACACTGAAAGTTTTGTGAGCCTGAGGTGGGTCGTTAGTGTTTTGTATAAACATCAAAAGAAAGAATCATGATTCACATTACTTCAAGGGCATCATAGGAAGTCAAAGGACCCGTCAAGAGCTACCAACTGTACAGGCAACACCTACATCTCGGCCAAAAGCATCCAGTCGGTAGGTCGCGCTTGGTTTATCTCTCTCGCGCCTGCTAGTAAATATAACTTCAACGTTGCCGGAATCGAATGCCGTACCATCGGTACCAACTCGATAGTTACTCGAATGCGAGTTTTGTTATTACAACAATATAAGAGTAACGATTGAGTATATGTACATTATGTATAACTAAATACATTATAAAATAACTAGCTACTCATCCCGGCTTCGCCAGTGTACATGTATTATACATATAAAACTTTCTCTTAAATCACTCTATCTATTAAAAAACCCTCTTCAAAATTAGTTGCGTAGTTTTAAAGATTTAAGCATATACAGGGACGGACAGACAACGACAGCGACTTTATTTTATACTCTGTAATGATGGTCGTATGCGCCAACATGTTTAATGCATCTGTCAGGCCTGAAGTGTTGCTCTGTAAGTATGGGTATTGAATCGAGTTACCGTGGTTGGTCCAGTAATTTGCTACTCACACCTTCGCGAGCACGTGTGGCTGTGACGTATATTTTCCATATTTATCTCTATTATCGCTCTTTACATACTACCATCACTATCTTATCTCGATTAGAAATTGCTATCACTAATATGGATTATGACATAATAAGTCATAATGTTGTTG